TAAATGCCAGGTAGAAGAGTAGAGAGGAGAAACTGAGAAAGTACATACATTTTATTAACTTTCCCCTTTTTCCGGCATGTCTATGCCATGGTATTAAGAGTGGTTTTCGAGTAACTCTGAAAAGCTTACGATTCTATCAAAAAGGGCAAAACACTTAGATTTTGGTACTTACCTCTCCTAAACTCACTGTCTTCTCTCTCTCCCACACTGTAAGGTTTAAAGCAGTGGTATGACAGGCCACTTTCATTGACCCCAAAACCAGGCTGAGGAGTTGGAGAGAAGTGAATGAATTAGTGAATAACTCCCTCAGCAATAGGAAAATCTGATATTTCAGTATTGCTAAAGATCTCCCTAGATCACCTATTCTAACTTTTCTAACTAAGACAAAGTTTAATGACTTTTCCCAATTGTATATTTGAAAATAATTAATGTCACCCAATTTGAGCCTTTCACTGACCTTCAGAGGGAAGCTTGACATCCCAAATATCTCCTAATGTTTCCTTTTAACCTTTTCCTTTCTAAAGAAACTGAACCGACAGGTTGAAAATCCTGGGCAGTTTCATGAAAGGGTTCTTGGAGTTTAACAAAGCTGTCATTTTCAATACACTCGATGACTTTTTCTTAGCTATTGCACATGATTTACAGGGAGGCTCAACAATTCCACACACCCTGGCTGCATCGCCAATATCAATATTTAAAAATTAAATACAAAAGAGACAGATGACCTCCTGACCCCAGGAAACAGGCCTACAAAACTGCAAGTATCCACTACACCAAGCCCAGGGACTTTTCCTCTTTCAAATGAACCACAAAAATCATACATGTGTAGCCTGGAAAACCCAAATTTATATCCACAAGCAGGAACACCAAAAATCCACTAAAAAAAAAATGCATATATAAACAAACAACAAGTACTGAAATTGCCTGCACTTGATGGGAATTGCAAAATCATGCCCAGCTCTCTCAGCCCTTAAACTACTACTGTCAAATTAGGGTAGCAATTTTTTTCCCACTAGAGAATTCACAACCAGTTAGTTTCCCCACCCCCATTGCCAGCCCTTTGCCTTTCACTGAAACATAAATAACCTTGGACTTTTTTTCCCTCCTCTGGGAGCTGTTTGGTGTCCCCTGAGGACAAAACTAAATGAGAAAAATGATGCTGTTAATAATGTCGCTGCTGAAATGCCTGTACTCAACTGTTAAGAGAAAAAAAAAAATACTGTCCCACTAAAAGTGTCTACATTTCGGGCACATTTACAAGCTACAACTCTGAAGCTGAATACCAATTGGGCCAGATTCTTCCATTAAGGTTAACCGGTTTCCAGTTCTCTACAGACATGAGGCCAGTCATCAACAGAGACTCTCAACTTCTGAAGATGTTTGCTGCCCGGATTACAAAGTCAGCAGTTGCCCTGAAACTTTTGCATGATTTATTTTAAACTTTGAAAATTGCGATAAAGGTTGCCTAACTTCATTCACAATACTACAGAGGTTACATAAATGCACACATATTCAGTCTCTTTTCTGCTGATACTGAGAGTTGTAGTTATTGCCCTTTTTCAAAACAGCTGACCTTTAAAATAAAACTAAACTATCATTTTATTTCTAAATGTAAAGTGGCTTTTATTACCTATCCACATATGCCTTTGTGACATATGAAAACAGATAGGTATTAAAGAGAAGTTTAGAAAGCTCTGTCCAAAATGGCCAAGTAGTTTTTACATTCTGTATTTAGTATAAAAAGTGCATTGCAGACAAACTTAAACTGTCTGCACTCCTTTCTCTAATTATTCCTCTGAAAACTGCTGTTCTATTTAAAAATCAAAACAATGCGTAACAACAATTGTACATTTTAACTTTCACATTAAAATTTAAGAAACAATTATGTAATTAAAAAGAGCAAACACAATTGGGCCTATACAAAATATATGTTTAGTAAGCTTTATGTCTGAATGTATCTGAAATATTTTAACAGCACAAGCTAGTCAATTTCAAAGCAGTAATGTTGTCACATTGTGTGATGTCACAAACTGCAAAAACAAAGTTACAGATGTTTGTGACATCACATTCACTCAAAATTATGCTGCTGCTCAGTCTGATCCTATTAAATTAAATGGATCCCTATGTGTGCTAAAGAATAAAAGGAATTTATTTTGGACATCTAACAATGAAACTGTCACCATTTATTGTATGAAACACTCAGCTAATCAATTTCCTATTAAAATAGCTTTCAACAATACTCAGCTTTAAAATTCATCAGGGCCAGTAAAAGAACCTTTTCCCAGTGCAGAAGAATGCAGTCTCAACCACGGATGATAATTACCGTTCTAATACTTTTACTGCCCAAGCACTTTTTCCTGTGCTCCCCATCACTTAAGCAGGAATCTGCAGTACATTGTATCAGTGAGTTGGAGTGCTTGACCTTTTCCCACATATGATTTAATAGGGACTTTTCAGCAGTGGAGCTTTCTCTATCTCTTATACGATTAAACGAAAACATCAAACTTCAAATGTAAAACTGGAAACCACAACATTTTGTGTTTCACAACTCTTTGCAGTTTTTCCTTAGGCTGCTTAAAGATCAGCTGCTTCTCAAAATGCTCTCCCCCATACAGTAAATGCACTCGAAAGTCACACTAATTCTGATTTTGATTAAATCTTGAACTCCTTAGTCATATACACACATGCACACTGCTTATTTACACGTGCATTCTTTTCTAACCACATAAGCATGTGCGTATGACTTTCTGGACTTATTCCATTTTAGGGCTGATTTAAATGTCTGTTCAAGGATGGGTTCAAAAGTTAACTTTTTCCCGCCTGTTGGAAGTTAAAGTCACAAAGGATGGTGCTATAAGATCCGTTCAAAGAAAGTCAGAGTTAATCTTGTGTATTTTGGCGCCTTTACCCTGCCAGCTACTGTACTTGGGGGGGGGGGGGGG